CCATTTAGAAGTTCCAGAGAAGGGGCAGCAGCCAAAGAGACTGAGGCTGAACAGTCACAAAGGTGGTGGGGAAGCAGGTGAGCGTGGAGTCCCACAGGCCATGTGCACAGGAGGAGAGAGCCGGCAGGTGGTCTGCACCTCTCATGGGCCCAGGCCTCGCCCTCACAGCAGTGAGTCCTGTGGTGCATTTCCTCGCAGGCCAGAACCACGTTAACCCAGAAGATGCTCTTTCTGACTCTGCTCTAGACGGGCCAGTTGCCCTCAGCCCCACATCTCCGCTTCTTACTCTGTGTGTTCTTAAGATATCCTGCAGCCATTCCCTCCAGCTCTCATCCCCGCCTTCCTCCATCACTGTTCTACCCATTTCCAGCCCTGATCCCTCTACCAGATCCACACAATCAGCTCCCATCTAGAAGCTGCAGGTGTTTCTTGTGCACCTACTCAGTCCATCAGAATGCTTTTGGCTGCAAGCACTGTGGAAACACCAATTTACAGCCGCTTTAAGAGAAAGTGCCACCATCAGAGGTGAGATGAAATCGTGAAGAGGATGAGAAGGATGCCAGTCAGGCATGCTGAATCTTTATACAGTTTCAAATTAAAAAAAAAAAAGGAAGTAAAGCAGGCTCTCTGTTAGAAGTGCATGCTTCTCAAGGACTTTTCTTTGCCTTGTATTCTAAAAGCGCCTTAGGAGGTTACCTACAAGAACGTGCTTCAGGAATTTCCCTCCTGGCTCACCACTGCTGTACCTTACAACTCCATGTGCCATATTTGCTTCCTGGAGCATCTTATATTATCTTAAAGAGACTTTAGGGTTGGCAACCTGCTGGGCAGGGCAGAGATGAGCCTCCTTCTCAGATGAGGCAGCACTTAAATTTCTCTGATTCTGGCATGATCTCAGCAGTTAGAGTAACCAAGTACTAGAGGGGAGAGCAGCTTCCCCAGGAGTTGTGAAATTTCATCAGCATACAATGACATCTATGACCTGGAGCCCACCTCACCTGCCTCTGGGGTAGCCAGATTGGCCCTTCAAGAGCTCCAGAACCTTGTGGTTAAAGATTATCAGTTTTGAAATCTGAGAGCCCTAACGTCAAATCCTTGCTCTCCCATTTACTAGCTGTGTGATTTTGAGCAAATTACTGACCCTTTCTGAGCTGCAATTCCCTCATTTGAAAAATTGAGATAGTAGTATATCCATTTGAAAGGTGTTTGTTGTAAGAATTAAAGAAGATAAAGTACCTAAATGGTCAGCATAGAGCTGAATGCAAATTAAGCTATCAGTAAATGGTAGCTATTATTATTACCTAGCCCTGTACAAAATTTTTCCTACATGTGCACACCATTCTGGCCATAAGGAATGTATTTGTAAAGACTCTTGTTTTCAAGAAATTGAACCTCATTTCAAAGCAGTTTAAGGAAAAGAGAGGAATTTATTGGCGTGGCTGACTGGGATCTCCAGGGAGGAACTGGCCTCTGTGACTTGGAGCTCAGAGCCTCCGGTCTTCCCCTCATTCTCTCCTGTAGTACTAGATAGTCTTTGGAAGGGAGCAGACATGTGGCCAAAGACCATTCTAGGCTGGCATCACCCCCAAAAGTTAGCTGAATGCGTATCATCTAAAATAGCAAAGGGACAAAAAAGTACCTGAAACCAATCTCAGAAGGACCATAACATTACTTACTTTTTGACTCAATTCTTTCCCAAGTGCAGGAGAGGAAAAGGAGAAGGGCCATTGCAGATGTGCTCAGAGCTCCTGGGTGTGCAGTCTATATCCTGGGAAAATGAAAGGGCCATTGTAGCTGGTTGTTTACAGTGAGTTAAAGGCTTGAATCAAGTCCCGGTTGAAGAATTTCCCTAGATCACTGCCAACACGTTCTCACAACACTTTGGTTCATAAAGAGACCCTGGGGTACTATGATATGCTGTCTTTCCTGATTGCATCCTCCGGGCTGTCTATCATGTTGCTAATTTCTAAAGGTTATTTTTCTCTGTTTGCTGACTGCTGCCTCTGGTCAGAAGTCAAGTTGAGAAGTACCTTTGAAGGACCGCAATTAAGAAGGATCAATTTAATTTTAAAATAAACTTTGAGTTCTCAAGACAGATTATTATTTATGGCAAATTAACTTTTTTTTTTTTAAAGATAAAAGAAATCTGTTTCCTGCTCCTGGGGTGATTGTCAAAATGCCTCAAAGAAGTGAATGAATATGTGACAAAATTTAATTTTAGATTTCCAAACTAAAATGAATTTTGTAACCTAAAATTCATTTCTAATGGTTAAACTTCATTTTATCATTAAACTTGCCCAAACTTGCTTCTCTTAATGACCACTGCTTCTTATAATAAATATATAAGGTGTTGTGATAAGCATATGGATAAATTATAAGCTGGGACAACAACCAGGAAACAGAGCTATAACAGATACATTTTGAGAACAGACAGTTTGTCAGCTCTCTTGGATTTTCAGAGCACAAATTGAATACTGCAGAATATTGTGAAAGATTTGAATTTGGGGAAATGTTTGGTTGAAACTTTTTCTTGTCATATCAGCCCTTTTCTTGCCTCCTTAAGCCTGGTGCTACTTTGAGAACATTGCTGAATCTTTATTTGATAATATAACTTACTTTTTAGCTACTGCTTGCTATCCAGATTTATAATTCTTCTTGTAGAAGGTGGAGGAGAGAATCTAAAACCTTCTTTGGGATACACATCATTCTCTACATTCAAACTCTTTGATAAATCAGAAGTCTCCCTTTGGATGCCCTGAAATTGGAATGAAACATTAAAGCACTTTCTAATTATAGAAGTTCACAATAAGAAATTTATGGAAATCCAGGACACTAAGAAGAAATTACCTTGTCAACATGTATCAGATGTCTTGGCAGAAAAATAGTTGTCATGAGGCCAGTTCTTTATTCTCTGATGAAGTAGTGGGCCTCCTCTGTGGAGAGATGTTCCTGGGACACGTCTAGTTGGTAGGCCTCTTGGAGTTTGCTCTGACTTTGTCTCAGGCAAAAAAGGTAAAAGTTGGTCTGGTAGAAGATGAGAATGGCTGATGGTGTGACAGTAACTCTTGTTGCTTATCAGAATATAATGTGCCCTGTGTGTGTGTGTGTGCGTGTGTGTGTGTGTTTAGAATCTCCTGTGCTCAACTGTTTATTTGTTTGAATAGATAATACATGCACATGACTTGACATTCTGTGGGCACCAAGGCTGCTGTTTACCAGTCAGAACACACTCGTGGGACACCAGTCATGCCCGTTTCAATTGATTGATGCTGAGAGCCATACTGGTTATTAAATACGTCCAATATAAGTCCTGTAAGAATATCAAGTGACAAGTCCCCCTCCTTTTTGTGTCCTGGACACTTTTCTTATTTTTTTAATGTTTAATATAGAAGCAGAAGTGCTTTTCAACATTGGTCTGCATGAAGTTGTGAAATATGGGTATTTTAATCACTTCCGGCAGTGGATAGCAATACAAAACAGGAAAATCTTACCCCAATTCTGTCTCTGGCATCTCTCCAGCCTTCCTGTGAGGGCTTTCTTTTCCATTTGTGCTCCTCACCCCTGGCAGTCACCTTGAGAGTCAGCCTGCCCCTCTCTTACTATTTGTGTGGGACTAGTTGTTCATTCTGTAGTTCAGTCCCCTAGGTATCACACCAGAGGCCTGGGGCTGTGAAAAGCCACAGCACAAACCTGGCAGATCTACCCAAAGCAGCAGTTTTTCCAGATGGTAAAACATCACTTTTCTATGACATCATAACCCAGATGTCAGTTGAATCAACCTACCCCCAGGATTCTGATCTTTAACGTAGGGTGCACAGGCATTCCAGACATCGATGGATACATTTCATTTTCTCATGCACTTTGATAAGAAAAAAATCACATCTTGATTTTTACTAACCTCTAATTGAATTTGAGCATTTCCTTCAACTGTGGCAACAAATCACAGAAGTAATGGTGGTACCTGTGATTTCATCATCAGTAGAAATCAGATGTTTCCGTATTACATTGCAGTTGTTACTTAAATGAAGACAAAGGCTGATGGAGGAGTTTATATGCATTTAAAATAAAATCCATGCTCCTTTACAGACACCGCAGTTTGTCTCTACCTCCTCCAGCCAGTCTCTCCCTTAGTCTACTGTGTTCCAGCCACATTGAACTTATTGCGGTACTTAAAATCCTCAGCCTCAGGGCCTTTGCACTTGCTGCTCCCTTTGCCTGGGATGCTTTTCTGCATTCTCTCCACTGGCTCCTGCTCTTTCGTCTGATTGAATGCTGTCTCTTCAGTGAGGTTTTTCCTGATGTCTCTTTAAGATGCCTTTCTATCTCTGTTCACCTTTATCCCAACAGCTCTGTTGTTTCCTTCGTATCACTTACCATAATCTAATTATTTTATTGCTTACATTTTAGTGTCTGTTCTCCCCACTGAAAACAGCTCCATGGAGATAGGGACTGGGACTGATTTGTTCATTGGTGCATCCCCAATGCATAGCACAGTGCTGGGCTTTTAGTAGGATCTCAATAAATATTTACCAAATGGATGATTGAATGGAATGTAAGGTGTGCCCTTCTCAGGGTGGTTTTATTTTCACAAGGGATTCCTAAAGATGTAGAAGCTTCCTTATCAAAGGAAAGAAGTTATGATAGCAGGAAAAAAGGCAAGGGATTGGTATTTTAGATCAAGGAACCCTTCTTGTGTGACATTTCCTCCAGTTAGTGCCATCTGATCAACTAACCCAGAGGGTTGACAGGGCTGTTTCTAGAGAATGCAAAAGATGACCCTTTGGGGGCCTTTGTGTGCTTTGTACAGCTGGAGAAATCAATTTGAAATGGTGAGCTCTACATTCAAGAACTATCTAGTTACCAAAACTCTATATTCAGAAAGTTAGGAATAATTGCAAAATTGGCCATGTATCAAATGGTCAAAGGCATCATCCTTAGTAATTGTATTATGACTTTTGGGTTGATTCTCTTTTAAACATACTTTTATTCTTTATCCACAGGTCACAGTTTTTATCCACGTGAACACACATGGCTTTATTACGAAAAAGTAAGATTATAAACTTTTGAAAATTATGATTAAAAATAGGCATTTTGGAGGATTGTTTTGATGCTGGGTCTTAGCGTTTTTTTGAGATCTTCTTTGCTCTTCATGGATAGTCTTCCCACAGACAGTTCTTGGCATCGGCACATTAGGATGATTCCCATAGAAAGTTGTTAAGTGTTTTGTTCAGAGTGAATTTTTCGTGAGAGGAGTCAGATGCTTCCATAAGAGTTGTAAATATGATTTGTTTTTTCATTGTAAATAAATATTCGTGTTTCTGTCTCATTTAGCATTTGTAATTTTTTGTTCTTATTCTTAAAGAATCATCTCAAGTTATGTCATCTTCAGACCCCATCAAAATCTGGATTTGCATCTGATTTTATATGCAGTTGTTTGTGAATCTAGGGGACAAATAATAACCTAACTGTATTACTATTACCCTCAGGGTAGAGGAGCCTAATGTAGCAGATCAAAAGACATCTGCTACATTCAGATAGATTTGAATTTCTAGTAAACTATGAATAATTTTTTAGTATTAGGTATATCCCAAATATTGCATGGGACATACTTTTACTAAAAAAGGGTCAGATGGTAGTAGACATTGGGCTGCTTCCCCGAACTGGCTGTGGGAAGTGAATGTTAATCAGTTGTATTGATAAACTATAGAACTTTGTCCCTTGTCTTCTGCTTCTGTGTAGTTTTATTTTAAACTGAGTCCGGTATCTGGTTGTCTCAGGCTGAATCTGACAACCCAGAAAGGCAGAGGGGAGATACATGTCAGGACGTAGAACAATTGAGCCTCAGAACACAGCATCTGTGGAGACTGCCCAACTCCTTACTTTTACAGATGTGAAGACAAAGGCCTTGGGGCCAGAAAATAGATCAGTATGAGGTCAACAAGTATAAATATCTTGATGCACAAAAATAGTAAATAATAATGCTTAACAATTTTAAAGGCTTTATTGGGCCCACATTGCCTTTGTTAACTCTCAAAACACCCCTGAAAGGTCATAATTATTATTACAATCTCTGTTTAGCAGATGAGCAAACTGAGGCTCAGAGAGGGTAAGTAACCTGTCCACGGCCACACAGCTAGGAGGTGGTGAAAGTGAGATTTGAGTCTGGCTTCAAATTCCAGCCCCTTCCCTTTCTACCAGTGTTTACCAAACTGCAGGCATTTGTGTACCACATATGGCAATGTACCATCTTCTCAATTTTTCATCATCTTTGTTCCTTCTGTCCTGTGTATGACTGACTTGACTTATTTTTAAATTATAAGTGTATTTTGTAATATAAAGTATATTTCCTTTCTGTAAATAGAATAGCAGTTATCGCTATCATAAAAAGAAGGTTATTTGCCATTTGGAGCAACATGGATGTCCCTGGAGAATGTCATTCTAAGTGAAGTAAGCCAGAAAGGGAAAGAAAAATACCATATGAGATTGCTCATATGTGGAATCTAAAACAAAAACAAAAACAAAAAACCATAAATACAAAACGGAAACAGACTCATACACATAGAATAAAAACTTGTGGTTGTCAAGGGGACGGGGGGTGGGAAGGGACAGACTGGGATTTCAAAATTTGTAGATACTGATAGGCTTATGCAGAATAGATAAACAAGATTATACTGTATAGCACAGGGAAATATATACAAGATCTTGCGGTAGCTCACAGCGAAAAAAATATGACAATGAATATATGTATGTTCATGTATAACTGAAAAGTTGTGATCTACACTGGAATTTGACACAACATTGTAAAATGACTATAACTCAATAAAAAATGTTTAAAAAAATAAAATAAAAAGAAGTTTATTGTACAAATATATATAATTAGGATACTGTTATTCAATTCTAGGTGGCTTTTGTTGCCTGCCTGTAGCTGATTTCTCATACTGTGATTTAATGTTACTTAATGCTATGAACATGAGCCTCATAAACCATCCCGTAAACAACCAGTGGTATGTGCTCCCTCAATAGGAAAATACTGCCTACACCACTCTACTTCTCAGTAGATTCCAAGGGCAAGTGTCACTGTTCTGGAATGGATGGCCCTGGAGGCTTAGAACTAGAGGAGGTGTTGGGGTCTTCTAACCTCTTCCTCAGGGCAAGAATTTTCTGTATGTAATCCTTGACCACTTGTTGAATTAACTGAGAAGTAGCTGTGTTATAATGGCTAAGAACATGTACTCATAATAAGTACTGGCTTGTCATATGTGTTATATAAGTGTTGGATATTATATAAAGCAAAGCATTCATCACAGAAAGTGGCTACAAAAACAGCATCATGTAGTCATCAAGGTTGTAGCCTCTGCCATGAAGACTACCTGGGTTTAGCCCTGGATCCTTCTTAAACTACATCTATGTATCCTTGGGCATCAGTAGTCTCACAGTGAACTCTTTATTCCACATGCTCTCTGCTTAGAGAAAGGTGCTAGGTCTCTACTCCTGGGTGTGTTGGGATAAGGGGGATCTACTCACATGGCTGTTCTAGACTTTTCCACAATTTCAGTTTGATAATTTACACTTGAACATGTTTCTGTTTTTATTCCAGTTAATCAGGTGTTGCTGTTCCTTCTGATTGTGACCCTCTGTGGGATTCTGTATAAGAAAGTTCATAAGGGGACTGTGCTCAGGAATGAAACAGGTATGCCAAGTGATACAAGCCAGTCGCAAAAACATAAATACTGTGTGATTCCATTAATATGAGATACTTAGAGTAGTCAAATTCATAAAGACAGGACATATAATGATGGTTTCCAGGGTCTGGGAGGGGAGGGGAAATGGGAGCTCTTGTTTAATGGGTATAGTTTCAGTTTCACAAGATGAAAAGTTATGGGGCTGGATGATGGTGATGGCTGTGTACGACAGTGTGAATGTACTTAGGACCACTGAACTGTACACTTGAAAATGGTTATGATGGTAAATTTTTGCTGTGTATTTTACCACAATAAAAATTTTTTTAAAAAGGAATGAAGCAAGTAAGCAGGCATGTGGTCCATCAAGAGGAGATACCTAGGAACACAGTTTGCATCCTCTCAATAGCTGGCTTCAGAGACAAGTGAAAATTTAGTCAGCTTCCAAGGACCTGCTTATAGAACATCCACCCAGCGTCAGCTTATCAGTTGTGTTCTAGAATGATCAGTGCTACTCAAACCTCAGCACATATAAGAATCACACGGAGGGCTTATTAAAACATAATCCAGCCAATGGGAAGGGGGAAAAGAAAAGGGGAGGGCAAGCAAATTCCTTTTAAAGGCAAACCCAGTAGTTGCACGTACACTGGCACAAGCATCCCTTTGGTCAGAACTTGATCACAAAGAGGCTGCAACGGAGTCGGGAAGAATATTCTGTGGATATTTGGTTGGCTGTGTGCCAGCTAAAGTCCCAATGTTCTGTTTCTAAGAGAAGAAGAACTGGATGTTGGAGAACAGTTGGCAGTCTCTTCCACACTCTGCTGTCTTCTCCCAGGAGTGTGGAAGGCAAGTTAGACTGGCTCTGCTGTAGTGAAATGCCTTCATGTTCCAGGACGCTGATTTTGATGTTTCCAGGTGATGACTCTGAGGCTGCTGAGGAAATGGAAGATGAGATCCCCGTGGTGATTTGTGCAGCAGCAGGGAGGATGGGTGCTGCTATGGCTGCCATCAACAGCATCTACAGCAACACCGACGCCAACATTTTGTTCTATGTAGTTGGACTCCGGAACACTCTGTCCCGAATACGGTAATTTGTGTGCTGTAGACTTTGGGGTTTTCTTACTTTTTTTAAATTGAAGTATGGTTGATTTACAATGTTGTGTTAATTTCTGGTGTACAGCATAGTGGTTCAGTTATATATATGTATATATATATTCCTTTTCATATTCTTTTTCATTATAGGCTATTATGAGGTACTGAGTATAGTTCCCTGTTCTATGTAGTAGGTCCTTGTTGTTTATCTGTTTTTTATATAGTAGTTAGTATGTGTGAATCCCAAACTCCCAATTTATCCCTCCCCATCTTCTGTCTCCCCTGGTAACCATAAGTTGGCTTTTTAAGTCTGTGAGTCTGTTTCTGTTTTGTAAATAAATTCATTTGTGCCCTTTTTTAGATTCCACATATAAGTGATATCATATGGTATTTTTCTTTCTCTTTCTGACTTACTTAGTATGACGATCTCCAGTTCCATCCATGTTGCTTCAAAGGGCATTATTTTATTCTTTTTTATGGCTGGGTGTTTTCCATTGTACAAATCTACCACAACTTCTTTATCTAGTCATCTGTTGATACGCATTTAGGTTGCTTCCCTGTCTTGGCTATTCTACTTTCTTTTAATCCTCCTTACAGATTTTCCTTAAGTGGATTCTCTTCTTTCTTTGGTTTGATAGATGTCATTCAAATTCATGAGGGAATGGCCTGAGGTTTACTTGATGGCCTGACAAATGTGTTGCCTAGCTGAGGAAATTTCAGCAAAGCCTCATTAGTCTGGTAGGGCAGTCCCCACCAGGCATTCTGCAGAAATGAATTGCCCAGTGAATGAAGGCACCCCAGTCCTCAAGCATTTTATATAAAAGTCTTTATTTCTAAAATGGTTTCTCTTTTCTCTGCTTTCTTAACCTGAGAGACTATTAATATACTATAATCATTTTAATATGGCTCTAAATCATCACTAATTATTATTTTTGAATTGCAAAATGATCACTTTCCTATCACACACCACACTAAAACATAAATTGGAGTTGGATTTAGGAGAGATAAACAGAAAATAAAATTCTAAATGTATTATTAAAATGGGGATAACTGTATAATTTTGGTATGGAGAGTGACTCCCTAAGCCCAAAATCATAAGGAAAAAACTGACAGATTTGACTGCTAACCTTTACGAAGTTTTAAATGTTTAAAAACACTATAGGTGAAATTGATCACACAACAGATTAGGCAAGATATTTTCAACATGTATTATAGACGGAGGATTACTACCCAAAATGTATATAGAATTCTTACCAATTTTTTTTTAAATACAAGCATATAGTAGAAAAATGAGTGCAGAATACAGATAATTCACAGAAGAGAAACTATGAATGGCCAGCAAATGTGAAAAGACATTCCATGTTCCCCTGCTGGGAATCCACGCTACAGAAATTCTGTTACATATTACCAAAATCTATGTACAACAGTATTAATTTCAGTATTATGTGAAATGGTAAAAAAAAAAAGTGCAAAGTGCTCAAAGGTCCATCAATGGAAGAATATTTAAATGAACTATGGAATACAATACAGCTATTAAAAAAGAAAGAAAGCATAGGTGATCCCCAAGGAATATTATTAAGTGGAAAATCCAAGTTGCAGTACACCTCATATAGTATGATCCACTTTATGAATGTCTTAATCCATTTGGGCTGCTGTAACAGAATGCCACAGTCTAGGTGGCTTGGCTTATCAACAAGGGAATTTTATTTCTCAAATTCTGGAAGCTGGGGAGATCTAGATGCCAGCAGTTCCATGTCTGGTAAGAGCCCACTGCCTGGTTCACAGTGGGCTGCCTTCTCGCTGTGTTCTCACACGGCGGAAGGGGTAAGGGAGTTCACTAGGGCCTCTTTTATAAGAGCACTAATCCCACTCATGAGTGCTCCACATTCATGACCTAATCACCCCCTAAAAGCCACACCTCCAAGTACCATCCCTTTGGGAATTAGGTTTCAACATGCGATGTCAGGGACACAACATTCAGTCTATAACAATGAAAATCTAACCCCCCAAACTATAAATATGTCCATGTACATATATGTGTTTCTGTAAAGAAAAAGACCCAGAAAGATCTCTGAACATTAATAGAGACGGTCTCTAGGGAGAATGGAGGAAGTGGAGAAAGCAGTGATGAAGGGAAGTTCAAGGTATTTCAAGGTATTTATGTACGACTTTCATCATTGGATATTTTGGTAACAGCACCATTAGGAGGTACTGAGATATGAAAGACATTCGCTCCTAATCTAAATGGTCCTTGGCCGCTGTGGGTTTGTCTGTCTCATTTCCCAGCCTTATCATTTATTGTTGCAGATTGTTCACGTAGCCTGCTATTAACAGCCCTTTAATTATCTGTGGGTATGAAAACCAGATAACCAAACCCAAAAGAATGGTGAAGGTTTGTACTTGAACAAGAGGCATGAGCTACAGGACTTCAGGACGTTTGAACAGGGACTGTTTCCTAGTTCTTGGTTGTCTCATCCACCACCCTGTTTTAAAATATTTTTACAACTCTTTTCTTTGAAGCATAATACAGAAACAGGAAATTGTATAAATCCCATGTACAGCTTAGTGATCCTCCCAAAGTAAACACACCCTGTAACCACCACACCAACACCTGGCATGGGCAGTCTTCTTAACTTTGCCAATCTGATGAGTGTCTGGGGGTATCGAACAGTGGTTTTAATTTGATGTTCCTTTATTTCTAATGAGATTGAGCACTTTTTTTTGATCCTAATTCCCATTTGGACAAGTGTCTTGCTTATTTTCTGTTGGCTGTCTCTTTTTCTTGTTGATGAGACTGTTTTTCCTCCCTAGCTCTATTGAGATATAATTGACCTACAATATTGTACAAATGACTGATTTTTTATGGTTTGGATTTTAAAGATCTAAATTTAGTTTGGAAGACTGAATTCTTTTGTTGATTTTTAATCAACCTAAACGCTACCATGTATGGCTTTAAAATGTGTGGCACACGAAGATAAAATTGGAAATTTAATTTTGAGATGATTTCTACCAAGAATCTGATGATGAATTGGATAAAAAATAATCAGAAGTTCTGCAAGGCTGAGAAAACATAAGATAAGAGGGTAGAGAGGAGGAGGAGGGAAAGGTAAGGAGTGAGGACAGAAGATTGAGAGACAAAGAGGCAATGGTAAATGCAAATCATCCTTGGGGTCAAAACAGCAGAGCAAACATGATTCCAAGTGGCAGGTTCAGAACGTCCTGCTTCATTACAGAGCTGTTAGCCTATGGTGGAGAGCGTACAGGCAGTCACAGACGCTGCTTTAGAAGAAAGAAGGGACACTTTTTGTTCTTCCAGTTTCCTGTGGAGATTATGTGGATCTGGAGAGATATTTGGTTATTACTATTTTGCTTCATTTCCTTTGTGGAAAGAGTTATGTGAATGGAAAAAAAAAAAGGAGATTTGAAGCCAAACCAGATGAGGAAAAAAATCAGGAAGATTTACAGACTAAATTCTGCTAAGGTTACACACATTTTATTTTTAACTTTCTAAGGAGACAACAGATTGATCCTGAGGCAATAGGCAAATTGAGGAAAGGTTGGAGTTGTGTGCTAGAGGAGTTTTTTTATATTTGTTGTTGTTACTGTTGTTTTGGTCATTTCTCTAGAAAATGGATTGAACATTCTAAACTGAGAGAAATAAACTTTAAAATTGTGGAATTCAACCCTATGGTCCTCAAAGGGAAGATCAGACCAGACTCCTCGAGACCGGAACTGCTCCAGCCTGTGAGTAGGGATCGCGCACGTTGGGGAAACGTTCTTGGTGGGACCGTTGTTCATTGTGGAGCGCCCGCCAGTGGGATGCAGACGGAATGTTTTTGAAGCTTCCCAGTGTTGGATCTCCACCAGACTCTGCTTATTTATAATTTCTAAGCCACCTGCTTCAGAAAGGATTGAAGATGGTTTACATAAACATAATGAGGCAATGAAAGAAGAAATGAAGCATAAGAGAATGTAGGATGCATTTAAGTGTGTGAATATGCCTGGGGAGGCCAAGTAGTGAGGCCAGGAAAAAAATACTCCCCGCCCACAGGCATTTGTGTGCACAGTGACTGGACGTTGCATTTAGCTCAGAGTAGTCCAGCAGCTAAGGAAAGGCGGTAACATGATGGATTGATTACATGCTTTGTAGAATCGGCTGATATTTTCGGGAGACACCAACTTTACCCCTAGCATTGGGAATCTTAAGGTGTTTTACTGCAAGAATTCTTTACAAAAGGGACCCTCTCCAGCACAGAGTGGTATTTTTGATGGCAGGTTTACAGAAAATGAAGCCACCTTCTATGTATGATTGTTACTTAAATCCATCCTTGAACATTGACTAAATTTGAAGCCCTTCATCTAATGACGTGATCTTTTCCCTGTTCCAGATATTTATTATCAAGAGTTCTAGCTGAGTTGGGACTTTGGATTATACAGTATTGTGACTATTAAAGCATTAAGATCCCCATCCTCAGCCCATGCTTCTCTGGCTTTTTTCTGGCCCAAGTTGCTAAGAGGTTGAGCTTGTGGTGGGGACAATGCGTGTGTGTGTGTGTGTGTGTGTGTGTGTGTGTGTGTGTTTTAAGGCTATTTTAGTTGACAGAGATCAGATTACCGTGGACAGAGGAAGGCAGGCATTTTGTGGCATAAAATAGTGATAGCCTCTGAGACGCCCCCAGCAGCAGTTCACAGAGGGTGAAGGTGGTGACAGTCTTAGCAGTGGGGGGTTTGGATCTTGAAGAACCACTGACCAGTGCTGGTTTCAGTCCCAGGGCCCAGGGAAATTGGGCACCAGGAAGCTCTGATGAGGCCTCTTTGCAGCCTCTGTTTTATTCTCCTTCAAACCCGGAGCTAAGCTGAGGTCATGGTCAAAACCAGCCCTCCAGCACCCCTATTAGACACTGAGCCTTGTGCCTCTTCCCCACCATCACTTCTTTTGTTGTTTTAACAGCTGAATTTTGTTCGATTTTATCTCCCTCTGCTTATCCACCAACATGAGAAAGTCATCTATTTGGACGATGACATAATCGTACAAGGTATGCTCATCGACTGCCAAGAACACTCCGAAAAGGAGCAGCTGATAAGTGGAATGACTCTCTCTTCATTCTCACCCAGTGATTTTGACTGCTTATTCAAGTTGGGAGTACAGTGTTGTTGTAACTTGGGGAATATTTTGAAAACAAGGGTTGATAGTCACTCTCCAGGACAATCCAGCTGACTTTTTGAGAGCAACTCTCTGATTGTCAAAGTCTGTAAGAACTAGCTAGCTTGTAGCCTTTCCTTTCTCTGCACCCCTAAAACATAGGGGGATAAAGCCTCACTGATGACATTCTTAGAAACGAGCTAAGTTTTGGTGTTTAAATGTTGCCCACATGCAAATAAGATGAGCATTAGTGTGGTACCTACAGAGCAACAGAAATAAAGAAATTTGACCACTGCTGATCTGAGCTTTTATCAAGTGCCTTTTAAAATTGACATGAGCTATTCTTATCAGGCAAATTGCCAAACCACTTGAAATCAGGGACCATGTACTTTCCCCCCACAGCAAAATCGAGGATTGTTTAAGCTCTAATGCTCTATCTAGCCCTAAAGTGAATGCTGTAATATTGTAACTCCTGGTGTTTCCAAATTCAGGGGACATCCAAGAATTGTATGACACCACCTTGGCCCTGGGCCATGCAGCAGCTTTCTCAGATGACTGCGACTTGCCTGCCTCTCAGGACATACACAGACTTGTGGGGTTGCAGGTGAGCACGTCTTGGAGACCCTACCGTGGCCCTACCGCTCTCTCCCATCTCTTCCCTGCACCTCAGAATGAGTGCCATCCACACCTTGGAGAAGCCAGCCAGTCCGGACAGCGGGGAGACAAACAGCACAGGGCCTGGTTTCTGATTCCCATCCCGACTCTGCTCCTCACTGACTCTGGAGCAAGTTACTTAACCCTGCAGGTCCCACTTCCCTTATCTGAAACATAGCAAGAATAATACCTGTTTTGTTATGTTTTTGTGAGTTGTGATGAAATAACGTGATGTCAAAGTGTCCGGTAAATGCTCCAGAAATGTTATGTAGGTCACTTATAACCACACTCTAGGTCAGAGATAGTGTGTTCTGTAAGAGACTCACTGAATCTTTGGTTCTGTTTTCAGTTTTGACCATTGCTTCTCCTCCCCCCCAACCCCGTTCAGTAGAGGAAAATATTAATTTTGTTCAAAGGTAAGGAGTTCCTTACCCTGATAGAAATGAAGAAAGGTGAACCTATATGCAATACTGAAACCAAAAAAAAAAGGCTTTAGAATACAAGATGCTATTCAGAATCAAGTGCTCTTCTTCAAAACAAGTTTCAGGAAATAATTTTATATGTGTCACATTTAAGATATGACATACTTTAAGGCTGAGGCCCTGGGGCCAGACCTGACTGTCAAAAGCTTGGCTTCATCACTTAGTAGCTTTGTGACCTTGGTCAAGTTACTTAATCAGTCATTTTCTCCCTCATTTGTCAGACAGAGGTAATAATAGTACTTCACTCTCAGGTTATGCAAGAATTAAATTGGTTAATACATGTAAAATTATTGCATGCAGTTAACGAGGTAGTGTGTGTAACGTTCTTAGAGCAGCACCCACACATGGAAACATGCTCAAGTTGACCTATTACAATAGTCCATGTCATACTTGAGCATCACATGCGGTGGACTGTGGCAGCCTATGTAGGTGGAACGATGTGTCCGCCTCACTCTGCATTCACTCAGTACCACCCATTTAGGGCTTACTACGTGCCTGACACTATTTTAGGCACTAGTAACACAATCAACAAAACTAAAATTCCTGCCTTTGTGTAGCTTACCTTCTAGTGGGAAGAGACAGTGTGTAAACAAAGTATTGAACAGAGGATCAGGGTGGAAGTGGGGTTGGAGTTGGTAAACTCTAGATGAGTTACAGCTCCATAAACCCATAGGTTTGATCCCAGCCATTCTATTAGTTTTTAATAAAATTACACATGCAAGTATCTGCATCCCAATGGAATGCCCTCTAAATCATGAAAGAGTAAAAGGAGCTGGTATCAAGTACACAAAGCTACTTAATAATGCTTCGTTTAGCCACACTCCTATGGGAGACAACAGTGATAAAAATTAAGCCATAAACAAAAGTTTGACTAAGTTACGTTATTTAGGGTTGGTAAATTTCATGCCAGCCACTGCGGACATACGATTAACCCAGACTAATAGAAACTCAGCCCAAAGAGCATTCAAGAATGATAAAAAATAGAGTTAAGTTTTAGCTAAGCTGTAAAAAGCAACAGCCAAAATAAAAATGAGCCATGAAAGTGACCCTAACTGTCTCTGAATACACGATAGCTAAGGTCCATACTGGGATTAGATGCCCCACTATGCTTAGCCTTAAACCCAAATAATTCTAGCAATATCACTTGCCAGGGCACTACTGGCAACAGCTTAAAACTCAAAGGACTTGGTGGTGCTTCACTCAATTGGGTGATCAGGGAAGGCTCCACTAAGATGGTAGCACTGAACCTGCACCTGAAAGAACGGAGGGAGCTACCTAAGCAGGTATTTAGGGGAAACGCATTCCAGAAGGGGTAAGAGCAACTGCAGAGGTGTCGCGGCAGGGGTGTGTTTGGTGTGTTAAGGGAACAAGGAGGTCAGTGTGGCAGAGGGCTCAAGGGCGAGAACAGAAGTTAGAGAGGTAATGGGGTGGGCAGATGGTGCAGGGCATGGCAGGCATTCTAGGAAGGCTGGCTTTTACTCTGAATGAGCGGGAAGTCACTGAGGGGCCTTGAGCAGATGAGCAACACTGAGACAGCACGGGGTTGAGAAGGGTGGAGGCAGGGACACAGCTTGGGAGGGCCTTCTAGAAATCCAGAGAGTGGTAATTATGGTCTGGACCAAGAAGGGAGCAGTGGGGACACTGAGGAGTGGCTGGCTTCTGAGTATATTTTGGAAGATGGGACTGACAGGATTTGCAGAGATTTGGATGAAAGGTGAGGGAGGAGAAAGGGTCTAGGATGACCTAAGGACCCTAGGTTTTCTAACTGGAAGGATGGAGTTGCCTCTAACTGATGCAGGGCTGGTTGTGGGAAAGCAGGTGTGGAATAGGATTGGGATCAGTTTTGGGATGTAAGTAGAGCTGCCTTTATTAAGCATCCAGAAGGAGACAGAGTTGGCAGATGCAGTGGAGTTGGAAATCCAGAGGAGAGGTCAGGGCTGTCTGCATGAATAGATTTAGAGCCATGGGACTAGATGAGGCTGTCTAGGGAATTCACGCTCCGGACAGGAACAGGTGCTGGAAATGAGACTGGTGGCACTCAGCTTTTAGAGGTTGGGGAAACAAAAGAGAAAACTGGAAAAGGACTCCAGGAAGTGGCCAGTGACATAGGAGGAAACCCAGGGATACACACAGAGGTTTCAAGAAAGTGACTATTTTCCAGAAACAAGATTCACTGTTCAAAAGCATGCGTACCCCATTCCTTTACAGAATACATATATGGGCTATCTGGACTACCGGAAGAAGACCATAAAAGACCTGGGCATAAGCCCCAGCACTTGCTCTTTCAATCCTGGTGTGATTGTTGCCAACATGACAGAATGGAAGCACCAGCGCATCACCAAGCAACTGGAGAAATGGATGCAAAAAAATGTGGAGTATGTGCAGACTCTACCATTTTTTCCATGCTTGGGAACAAAATTATTCCATTAATTTTCTATGCATAGCTTAAAGGTTAGAAATATTTCACAGACATCTGAGGTCAGATTTTCTTACAGAAGCACTATTGAGAAAAAAGGAGGCAGTGGATGAAAAATCTGTTCTCAAATGATATATCCCAGAGGAAGTGAGATCTTGTGGAATCTTTTATACAAACACTTTTCTAATAAATTGTTTAATAACGTGATTTTAAATCTTCTCCCAAAATTCTAGTGAACCTTTTCAACTGAAAATCATTTCTTAGTCAAGTTTCTCCTTCTTACACAGATTTGTTTTTAAGAATTATTTTATAAAGTCAACTTTTTTAAGATTGAATTTTTTAATTTATCATTTTCCATTATCGAAGTTTTATGAGAAAGCTCTAACACAGCCACTACTACTGTGTCATTGTATTTCCTGTCCATCTTTTTTATCTGGATATTTTAATACTACCATAACCTTGAACTTGTGAGTAAGGCTATTCTAAATGTAGGATCAGAATTTGATCTATTTGCCTTAAAAAAGCCTGAGAAGTAAAACAGCAAAATTTTAATACTGAATTGAGGTGAAGTATATGGGAGTTCATCCTATACTTCATACAATTTAGTGTAGAGTTGAGAATTTTCAAAATAAAAAGTTGGAGAAAAATGAAAGACCATAGTCTTATTATAGTGAGAGACTTATGCCTTTTAAAATTATTAGCTTCTGCTTCCCCTGAGTCTGTGGGACCTTTCTCTTCTATTTCATAGGGAGAATCTGTACAGCAGCTCCCTGGGAGGAGGGGTGGCCACCTCCCCGATGCTGATTGTGTTTCACGGGAAGTACTCCACCATCAACCCCCTGTGGCACATAAGGCACCTGGGTAAGTGTTTTAGAAGAACACCAGGGAGCACCAAGGTGAGGAGTGTGCTACTGCAGCAGCTTCCTCAATTAGATCCTCCAGGTGACCTTGGAGGTCACCTTGGACACATTGTTTAACCCTCCTTGCTCAGATTCTGCAAATGCAGCCTATAAAAATGACCTGGGAGGTGTGTTTCTCGGAATTCCTGAAAAGCAGTTAGCCTCATGCTTAGCATATGTATGTCCTTGATAAACATTAACTATTGTTAAGATAGAACTTTCACTGTCAAAACTTTTAAAATGCCTTTGTTGCCCTCTTGCAATAGCCTATAGTGGACAAAACCAAGTGAATTAGCTTAATGGTTCATGATGACTCTGGATAGCTTGCAAACTGTCTTTTAAAAACGAGTTGTTTACTGATGTGTACTATATGAGTCCCTCAGGTCTTTTATTCACTCTTCACTACAGGAGTGTGGGCTCTGGGGTGTGGACTGGAACCTCAGCTCTGCTATTATCTATGATTTCGGGCAAGTTACTCAAGCTCTCTGTGCCTTAGTTTCTTCACTTGTAAACTGAAGCTAATAGAATAAGTTTTTATAAGGAATAAGTTACCTAATACGTGTAAATTGCTCAGAACAGCCTGGCACAGAAGACATTCACATTTATTCAAACACATGGCCACAGTCTGTTAGCCAAAACCACTGGAGTAGATTTGTTTAGAAATTTAGAAAGGTTTTGAAGTGTAAAAATGTAAGGTATGCACACGCTTATGTTATGCAATACCCTGGGTGGGTTTCAGATCTTGCTGCTGAGGAAGTTATTACAAATCTTTATGTTTTCAGACATTTGGGGATTGATTATTTTATAATTAGAGACAATGGATTGCGGACTTAAATTTACTATGTGCCCATACACTGCCACACCCTGGGCTAGGCTCTGGTGATAGAGGTGAACATTACTTCCAGCTCTCAGAACAATCCTGTAGATGGTCTGTCACCTAGACTATTCATTGTAGCACTCTTTTTGCTTGTGAAGGCATAGAAACAGCCTAAATATCCTTAATAAGGAACTTACTAAGTAATCATATATCCATTCTTTGTAGTCATTACAAATGATTCAGTACTATAACTCAATTTTAAAAAAGCTATGAATTAAATGATTAAGGACTTAAAAAAATTGATTCAGTAAATTCACATGTGCTGCTGTGGAGGGCTTCCCAAGACAGTAATTTTAAAAGGCAAGGTGAAAAAAAAAATCCACACACACACATAACTGGTGTATAGGTAGAACATTACTGGGAAGAATTTCGTGAGAAACTCTTTAACAGTGGTTATTTTGGAGATTTAGGGTAGATGGTAAATTCTTCATTGTATACCCTTTAATTTGTCCAATTTCTTTTTTTTATAATAAACATATTCAATTTTTAATATAAAATTTTTATTTTCTAACAAGCCTCTTATTTTCCTCTAAACATAATGAAGGCTGGAATCCAGATACCAGATATTCGGAGCATTTTCTGCAGGAAGCAAAACTACTCCACTGGAACGGAAGACATAAACCTTGGGACTTCCCCAGTGTTCACAATGACCTATGGGAGAGCTGGTTCGTGCCTGACCCTGCAGGGATATTTAAACTCAATCACCCCAACAGCTGATATAACTTGACATTCTAAATACTTCCTCTATAAATATACGGAATTGTCCATTTGTAGCCTACTATAACACTGTTCTTTCTGAACAGTACCTTTGATACATATGATCCACAATTAAAAAAAAACCCCACTGTGTGCAAATAGTACCTTGGATCATACAGATTTTGATTTACTTCCTTAAGTACAAGTGGCACTTATGAAGGATTATGTGAGTGAAATATATTACTGTAAGAAATTAAACCCATGTAGATGTCAGCAATTTGCTTAACTCTGAATGAGTTATTTCCACAAATTTAAAATGTTTCTAAATATATTTTTCACATGTAGATATTTTTAAACAGGTTGCCAATTGCCAATCTTGTGTTTTGTAGATTTTTATAGATTCATGTACATTTAAAGCATAAATGTCTGAAAAAATAAAATATTCATAGATTTTTAATGATCTTCATCATTTATATTTATATATTTATTCTATATGTTAATAGAAGGTAAACTGATCTCAGGTTGACAAGGGGAAGGAACACCAGTAAGTCTTGCTACAGAAAACACTGCAACTTAAGGATAACCATTCTTATTATTTTTTATTGTAAAACCCATCAGACTTTCAAATGAATTTAAAAACTTTTTCAATATTATTTAATGAAAAAGCCTCATATTGTCACGTATAGGATATATCAACATTTATTATTCATCGGTTGTATTTAATGAAAAACACCATTATTGTATGTTTGGAAAATTCCTCAAACCCATTCTCTAGTGAGTGTCCACTGTAGTTTAAAGGGGATTTTCTCCACTCAAAAAAAAAATCTACTATAAGGCTATAGTTGTTAAAAACCAGAGCACTACCTAGTTACATGCTTTACATAATCCCATGAAAAAATAATTAAATTGTTCCTAATCCCTGATGCAAGGCACTTCAAAGCACCCGCATAAAACATCCATGTAAACAGCAGTACAGTACATGATTTAAATAACATCAGTGACTTATACACAGCTTGACCTAGACTAAAGGAAAAATAAAATCCATCATAGCCACAGTTAAAAAGTCTGTTAAGATTCACAACAAGAATTTGTTTCTCTTATTATAAAAAGAACAGGCCGTAAAACCTTTTAGAAAAAAAATCCCAAAACCTAATAAATATTGTCATATTGAAAAACAGCATGCTCCCTGGGTAGGTATGAAATCAGAATATTCAGAAGTGATCAGGAGTAAATGCTAACAGCATTTCTGAATACCCAGCTTTAATATCTACCAGGCCTAGTAGTCTGGACTATTTGTAGCACCATGGAAAAATGCATTAGAAAATCACAAAGGTTCAAACTAACCTTGCCATGAAGTTCACTTAGTCCACAAATAACAAATAGCAAAGATGCAGAGAAAGAATTTTTTTTAAATGACTGGCTTATTTGATTTACTTAGCAAGAAAAATCCTACATTATTTATTTTAGTACATCTCATGTACATAAAGCACCAGTTTAAATAAGATTATCAAACATCTACAGCATCTTGTTATTCAACCTGAAAGTTCATTTCTCATCACTTCCATGTTACATGCTTAAAGTGAAGGAGGATAAAATTAGAATGGTGATAAATATGGAGATATTCAGTTCCTTCCCTATCAAATGTATGTCTCTCAAGTAAAACACAGATGAAGTAAGAAAATGTAAAAGGTCTTCTGCAGTCTCTGAAACTTACCATATCAGCAGAATAGTTTCTGCCTACTAGAGGGTTAGCACATGGGGGTGAGAGGGCCAAAGCCAGGGCTCACTGCCCTGACGGGTAAGGCCAGGTCAGCCTTGCTGCTGCAAGGCTGTACATACATTTCTACTACCAGGCAACTCTCACATACGCTTGCCACTGGTAAAGCAAGGAGGTCTGAGTGTGAATACAACTCAGGAAGCCCATTAAATGTGGCTAAAAACTACCAAATGAATGACTCCACTGAGGGTTAACCTCATAGATGAAAATCAACATATGTGCCTCTTCGCCAATGGTAATTCTTACTATTAGCATGCCTTTCTTAGGCACAAAAGGGATACTGGTGTATCAAGGGTGATGCACAGTAATCAAATATAAATATTCAGACTGTTGCACTTTAAATTAATTATAGATTAAAAGTGACTCCCAAAAGAAAATCAATTTCTTTGTAAATGAAATATAGTTTATAAAAAGCTGGAATGATGGTTAATTCAAATACAAAAACTCATATACAAAAAACCCTACCTTTTCTTTCCAAACTACTTAGATTTGTACAGTTGATTCTGCTGTACCATGATTACATCACCATAGTAAAATACGAATAAAATACTTGAGTTAGCAAACTGAGGGCCACTTCTTGACAACTGCATTAAAACTGCAGCATTTAAGCAGGGCTGAGAAGCACCATTCTTAAGCATGGTTTCCTTCTTCCTGTTCTTGCGTCCCACAGTGATTATTAAAGGAAGGAATCTGGTCTGTAAACGACTGGGTCATCCAGTGCCCATCTGGAATGTCATTGAAAGTTGATTCTCCATTGTCAGCTGCTGGGTGGGTGGGGGTGTTGGGGGGGGAAGAATGTTAGTTTATTCTATTTAAAAGCTTTAAATGATCAAATTAGGAAATTTTAACAGTCCAGTGAAGGAGAACTGATATTAAAATAGTTAAGCAAGCTTCCTGAATACAATTAAAAGTTTCTGTTCTGTTTTAAGACATAGGACTGATATATCCTCATTTGTTATTCAAGGAGGAAAATGTACCAAGATGACTTAGAGTCAGTGGCTTAAAGAAAATGAGCTGTAAAAGCTTATATAGTTAAACAGCAAATAACCATCAAATTTTCACTCTAAGTCACTAAATAGATTTTTATATCTTCGTTCCCATTCGTCAGTGATTTGTTCTCTCTAAAAACCAAGTCTTTGAAAGGAACAAACAGATGGAAGAGACATACTCTGCCCATTTGCAAGGAAGCTGCAAGGTTCACTATTGCATGGATTTTCACCATAGGCACCACCATATGCTGCTTCATAACCCGGATCGTATTTTTCTTCTTTCACAGCCATCTTCTTTGCATCCTCTGTGAAGAGGGTAAAAGGGATTTAAAACTGACTTGTATACCAATTTTGGAAAAAGCTTTATTCAGAAATTATCATGAACAAATCTTTTTCTTGAATTTCACATATACTGAGATACAGCTTTTGCTTTAAACTCTTTGTAACACATACCAAATTAACTCATAAGAACTGTAAAAACCTATTAGGTTTAATTTTAGGTGAGCCATAATGTTTCTTAGCTCCTCAATATCTGTAGGAATAGACTGGAAGTCCTTGGTAAATGGGGATTTTAGCAGTGACTAACATCTGTTATCAGAGCACTATGGCTGCAAATGAAATTGTTTTGTTTTCTCCTGCGTTTAAATCCACAACATGCTTTCCGTAATGTATATATACATGACAGGAGTGATAATGGTAACATACCTTGGGCTAGCTGTAGGTCAAACGTATATTGCACCTCTTGAACGTCTGTGTTTCGTTCAATGCCTTTCAACTGATCTCTTAAGTCCTTCAGCTTAATGTAGTAATGAACTTTATCCTGGGCTCGAGGAAACTGTGCACATCTTGCACTGGATGATGGCATAACATAGCAGAGCTAGAATCATAAAATCTTATAGTTACAAAAATCTTACAATTCTATTGAATCCACTCATATTGACATCAGAAAATTTATCTTTCTTTGGGTTAATAACTTGATACTTATCACATATCAGTATATCAAAATCAATTAACAGTAGTTGTGCTGAAATTCAAATTTGTAATATTTACTTATGACGAAGTCAACAAACCAAAAACAGTGAGGCTTTTATCCCCCAGTATTCATATAAAAAGGGCATATATGTATACAACAAAAAGTCTTCCCTCCTAATTCTGTTTCTATCCACCTAGCTCTCTTTCCCAAGGGCAAGTTCCAGAGGTACTCCATGAATATACAATCAAGTGTCTGATACATGTACTCTCCCTCGCCCCTTTAAAAAGCACACAAAAGCACACTCTCTATCCCCTGTTGTGCACTTTGCTTTTTTTACTCAACAACTGTATCTCAGAGACAATTCTGTATCAGATATCTATATCAGAGTTACAGCTTCCTTTTTCATAGCTGTGTAGTACTTTCACAACTTATTTAGCCAGTCACCTGTTGCCATTTAGTTTCCAATCTTTTAATATTACAAGCTGTAGTGAAAAACTTTGTACATATTTAATTTCAAATATGTATGAGTTCATCTGTTGGATAAATTCCTAGAAGTGGAATCACTAGGAAGAAATACATTTGCATATAGCATTTTGGATAATGGAGACAAACTATCCTTCATAGAGCATAACAAAATATGTAAGGACACATATCTTATCAATAAAAGAGTGAGGCTGCTGAATTATGAACTTTAGAGCTGCATTTTCTTTTGGTAATTTTTAAAAATTGAAATATAGTCAGTTTACAATGTGTCAATTTCTGGTGTACAGCATAATATTTCAGTCATACATATACATACTTTTTAAATATTATTTTTCATTATAGGTTAATATAAGGTATTGAATATAGTTCCCTGTGATATACAGAAGAAATTTGTTTTTTATCTATTTTATATATGGTAGTTAGTATTTGCAAATCTCGAATTCCCAATTTATCCCTTCCCACCTCCTTTCCCTTCTTTACCATGTCTGTGACTCTGTTTCTGTTGCAATTTTTAAATTGGTCTCCAAACTATGTATTACAGAAAAAACCCAAACCATTATTCACTTATTTTGCTTTGTTTATATTAGTATTTAGAAAATCCTGATTCATAAAAATATGTAGGTGCAAATGCTACCAAGTTTTGTAATAGCACATTTTCAAATCTCAAGATATCCTTCAATTAAAGTGACCCATAAACTTGAAAAAGTATTTTTTTCAAAGCTGAATCATTAATATCATCAATATCTGTGAATATTTCAAGATAAGGAATAAATTTATTAAGATAAATGCACTCACAGATCATTGTAAGAGCTGAAACTACCTGTCTGGATATGATTCAAGGTCACTTATTATTGCATAGCTATGATCACATATCCAGGGGATGTACCTGAGCCTCCTCATCTGGCACTTGAAGGGACAATAATGTAGTGCTCTATAGGAAGTGATGAACCCTTCCGTACATTTTCACCCAAGTAGACAAGGGTAGGCCTCAATTTGAAGAAAGACCAGTGCTACAACCTACTTTATCAATCACTTATTTATAAGAAGTTAAAAACAGAAGTTTTGGCTCACACAGGCGCCTTCTAGTCTGTGTGGCCTGCTGTTATCTGTGGCAGCATACCCCAATAAACTTTTCCTTCAACTTAAAAAAAAAGAAGAAATTTTAAAATAAGTTAAAATATGTATCGATGGCAGAAACTTTATTCTGAGGTCTCCACAACAACTTGTCAGCACAC